TCAATGAGACTCGAAGAATAAACCAAATAAATATTTTATTTATATCTTTAATACATTAAATACAATGTTTCAATTTTTAGGTACACTGATATTAAAACGTAATACAGTTTTTATTTATTATCATATTATATCTTTTAAGTACTTAGTAAAGACAATAAAAAAATATATAGAAAGACTAGCAAAACTGCAACACAATTAGGTTTTAAATAAATATAAAATACATAAATGCACCGTTATGATGGTAACACGTATCTCAAAAATTATTCCATTAGTTATAAACCAAAAGTTGTGGTAAAAAATGCCTCAAAATTCATTCATTAATTATAAATCAAAAGGTTAATAAGTACCAAAATATCCGAATGTAACAGTTTTTCAAGGAAAATATAAATCAGCCTTTAAAATTAATAACAACTTCTTAAAACTTGATGTACAAACCACCAGTACAATTATTAATACTTTTCAACAATCATTCACACAACTGCTCAGGAGATTCAGCTAATGGTAAAAATATTTAAGACTTCCTATATATATTTAAAATACTTTGTAAATTGAATTCGGCAGACGTTTTGCTCTGCATACAGAAATGCCCTTTTATAAGTAAATACTCAACATTATCACAAGTTGATTTTTTATCAATAGGAAAACAAATGTAAATTATGGTCTAAGTTTATTAAGTCTGTCTATTTCGGCCCCAAGTGTATCAACATTTTCCTAAAATCGTAAAAAAATTAGCATTACAATTAGTTAAAAAGGGAAAACACAAACCTTCAATGTAATATTTTTAAGTAAGGCATCTTCAAGTACGGCTTGCAATTTTCTGTTTATATCAAGGGACAGTTCTAGTGTTAGATTGTTGTCTGCCACTCGTGAGCCATACACAGATGCCATTATTCCATGCGTTTTTGCTATGTTTGCCTAAAACAACAACTCTAACATATTATACCCTTCAATTAATATTTTTTTAGAACTACAACATGCAATTAAATAAAGCAAAATTGCATGAAAAGCATGCAAAATGAAGTGCATTTGTTCAATAACTAGGGCTAACTAAGTATTATGCATTTCTGCAATTAATACAGTAGATACTCGATAATGTGAACAAAACAAACAGTTGCTTACATATTGGTTTATTCACATTAACGAATGATATTTAATATGTAGTATAGACATATCTATAATTAGTAAAATAAATATACAAATATAAAAAACTTACTTATTTAGTTAAAAGACAACAAGAAATACATAAAACAGTATTCAGAAGTTAATATTTTGTCCGAGGACTTATTTTTTGTAAGTTCTGCGATTATTTTTCTGTTGTTCACATTATCGAGTGTTTACTGTAATAACTTTGTTTAAATTCATTTGATAACTTACCGATTTTTTGTTTTCTGTTGGCATGGAATATAAAAAGTAAATCTATTTTTTTTTCAGTCGTTTACATTTATAAAATAAAAAGAATGTGAAATGACTATTAACAAAAAAATGCACCTTACTTAAATTAACGAAATGATTATATACGTGACACTTTTACCTTGTTTTTATCCATGGAATTTGATGTTAATGCTCCAGCATGATCATGGAGCATATAATTTTGTAATAAACGTGATTTCTTTTGTAATTCCTCGACTAAAGTGTTGATATGTTCTTCTAAAAAATCTATTTTTTCTGATTTTCTAGCACTGATTCTCTGTAGTTTCACTATGTGATCTATTAACGTTTGTTTTTCTATGACCATTTCAGGTTGAATTACCTAAAAATAAGTCTACATAAAGGGCCATTCTTCTTACAAAATAAAATTTTCACCTTTATTTGTTCGGTTGTGGGAGATGGAGATGAATTGGACCCCCCTTCTCCAACACTAACAGTGCTACTGGAACTGCTAGTGTTGTTGCTAGAAATTTCATTTTGCTCCAATTTCTTCCTACACTGTTGTAGTTCCTTATTAACTTCCTAAAATAATGTAAACAAAATATCAACAATTTAATTCTCTAATAATATAAATTGAGTTACTCGAAGTGAAAGTTCCAATTTCCTTTTCAGTACTACATTTTCGCCCTTAAGATCCGCCGATTCTTGATTTAAAGCCTCACACCTTTTAATTTGTTCTGCCAATTCAGCCTTTAAATAATTCACATCTTCTATATGCTTTTTACGCTCCTCATTTAGTTGAATGGCGAAACTGTTAGCCTTGGTCTCGTTATCTTTGACTGAATTTTTTAAAATCGTTTGTTCACAAACCAACTGCTGCACCTAAAAATAAATAGTGGTTGTTAACAGGCAACTAAATCTACAATCAGACAATAAACAATTTACTTTGGTCTCTATAGACGTGAATTGTGATTGTAATGCGACGTTTTTATCTGTTAATTGTTTTGTGAAGGCTAACATTTCAGCTTCACGTTCTTTACAAGATTTCATGTCCAATTCCAAATCGATGTTTCGCTGTTTAAATGCTGCTAATTGAACATTTAGTTCTTCTATTTGCTTATCCTTACTGTAAAAATAATAATAGTATTAATAACTGATTTATAAATATTTGTTATAATTCTTACATTTTTTGTACACACTTTAATTGTTCAAGTTCCATATTTTTTGCATTCAATTCTTCTGACAATTGTTTTTGCTCTTCACTGTTGTTCCTCAGGGCAACATAGTCTGCCTCCAAATTGGTAAGTTGTTTTTGCAAATCTCCCAGCTTTAGAGAAAGGTCTTTGTTTTCTTGGAAAAGCTCAATCTCCTTGCTCTTCATCTTTTCTAGAACAGACTGAGTTTGGGATATTTGACTTTCTTTTTCAGTCTTTTCATGTTTCAGTAATATTAACTGTGCTTGCAGTTCTTGAACTTGTTTCCCTAAAAATATACACTCATGAAATGTACAGTTTCTCATTAAATGTGTATATTCAAAAATTATTCCATTAGTTATAAACCAAAAGTTGTGGTAAAAAATGCCTCAAAATTCATTCATTAATTATAAATCAAATGGTTAATAAGTACCAAAATATCCGAATGTAACAGTTTTTCAAGGAAAATATAAATCAGCCTTNAGAAATACTTTATGTAAAGCCTGAAAAGGTGGCAACCCTAGTCCCAAGACTGGCTGGACACGCACCTCCACCTTCCTATCTTAAGCTAATCTTTGCATTTCCTGAAAAACATTCCATATCCTTAACAGTCCTCTTTTCTTAAGAATTTTATTTTTTGTGAAGAATTGGGCTAATTGTTACACATTCGTATAAAGTACTTAAAAATGATTTTTCTTTTTTATTTTTATTACTAGACGCCACAAAGGCCAACCTGCCACCAAAGAAATAGCATTTGTGCATGCGATTTTGGCTGCTGGAATAGTCCATACTGTAACCAGGAATTGTTCAAGGGGGAACATCCCCGGGTGTGGTTGTAATCCCACTTATGGAAACACAACCGTTCCTTCAGGTAGAGAATCCAGGATGTTCGAAATTGATGCTTCTATAAAAGTGGGGGCTGTGGATTGGCATTGGGGTGGCTGTTCCGATAACGTGGAATATGGAGAACAAATTTCCAGGACCGTACTCGATCAGACTGAAAAAGGAAGGGATGTAAACGCTCACATTCATCTACACAATAATCTCGTAGGGAGAAAGGTAAATTCAAATTGTTTATAAAGTAGTAGCTGCTGTACGCATTTAGTGACGTAATAAGTAATATTTTAATTAATAATAAATAATTACAGTTTGTTTGTCTTTTATGGTAGAGCTTTGCTAAAGTGATTTCAGTCTTAATATTCTAATTTATGTGCTGAGGATTAAAGATTAAAACCGAATTTATTTATTCAAAAACTACCCGTTAGTTTCGCCCTTCAGTAGAAATCTTTCTCAAGATAATTGTGTGAATCATTTGTTTTTACACCCTACTTTGGTGTTGGTTTTGGATAAATAAATTGAATTTTCATTTGGGGGCCTAAATGGTGGCACTCAGTTGCATGTTTGGTACTTTTTGGCATCAGAAAGTGACTGCAGTTTCAGTGTTCACCCAAAGTGCCGCCAACGCCAGTTACGCCACTGTCTTGGCTTACGATATGTACAATTTCTTATTGTTTTAGCAACAAAGTTAATGTAGCCCTGTAAATAGGAGCAAATAGATATTAAATTCGAGTTTATTACTAGGTCGTGCGTGAAAGTATGACGAAAAGGTGCCGCTGCCATGGAGTGTCTGGTAGCTGTTCGATGCAGACTTGTTGGATGCAATTGGCCCCGTTCTCAGAAGTTGCAGAGCGATTAAGAAAATTGTATGAAACAGCTGAAAATATCAACTACGAGGATGATTTAGGAAATACGGCGTATGTAGGCAATGTTGCCGAAAAATTGTTAAGAAGTAAACGTTACAGTCTGGTTTATACCAGAAAATCGCCGAATTATTGTCGAGCCAACAGTGCGATAGGTAACAATTGAATCGCTAATTTTTAATACATAAATACATACAAATAATTATGCATTAACACATTTAATTTAAGATTAAAGACCAAAAACCTATCTAATTTTAATTAAGTAATTTGTAGAACTTAATGGTTTTCCTTTATTTATTGAATGTTTAAAAAATTAGTTAATGCAGTAAAAAACATGGCAAAGGATAATTTAAGATAACCTTAAGCAAATCAGATTAGCAGCGATTTTCTAATCCTAAGTGGATTTTATTTAAGTTATTTTTAAATGAAAAATAATAGTTATATAGACACATCATGTAGTAATGAAAAACTGCTTCAAAATTTAAAGTAAATATACTAATGCATATGCATTTAGTTTTTAGAGATATAGTAAATCAATTGAATACTCAATAGAACAAATTTCTGTTATAGGATTTAAAGGAACCCAAGGAAGAGCGTGTTCGAGATCTAAAGGTGAGAATGTAAGTCCAATCGAAAGAAGAAGTTGCAGAAACCTCTGCCATTCTTGTGGTCATCGGGTGAGAAAAGAAAAAAGGCAGGTGACCAAACGGTGTAATTGTTCGTTTAAATGGTGTTGCGAAGTAAAGTGCGATGTTTGTACGGAAACAATTGAAGAATATTTTTGCGATCAACAAGTCGTTTGAAGCCGGAAATGTCCCAGGATGTTAGACCTATAAAACCGAACTGCCTTCCATGTGCAATAAAATTAACAGGAGGAAATAATTTTTAACAAATGAAACATTTAAATTATTATTTATTGTAAATAGTACCTAAGTTATGTAGTAAAATAAAGTATTATAATTAAATAAATGAATTTCAGGAAGTCTAAATATATTTATTTATAGTAATTAGATTTATTTTGAAAACTAATCCAAGTTTATCAACTAAAAAAAAGGATTCGATTAATTATCTACCTCTATCTCGCTTAACTGTCTTTCTATTTTTAATATCAACTATTCTTTCATGTCTGAGAAAATCTTAGCAACTAAACTTTCATAACGTCTTCTGTTTTCCTACCCTTTTGCAACCTCCTCACTGCCCACTTGCTTTTTCCACCCTGTAAACTTAAAATCGGCGACTTCTTTCAGTCTTTCGTTCCTTATTTTTACATTAGCTCTAATTCTACTTTTACATCCCTGCAAAAACTTGAACCTTTTTGTGAAAAAAATGTGTATTTTTATAGCGTGTTGTGGTCTAATAACTGTTTTTTTAAAAACTTCAAAAATGCCCGTCTATCGAAGAAAGCTTTTCAAAAAATAATAAGGTATCCATGGCATTGGCATAAACAACTTTTTTGGGTAACAAAAATTATTGTAACGGCAAGTAACATGCAAAATTAATTTTCCAGTTAAAAGCATTATAAATTTCTTCAGGGAGGTTTAATTCTAAATTTCAAAATGGTAAGTCAGCCAGACAGTTAACAAGATCATTTTCAAAAATCATCTAACAACAATTTTAGAGAGAGTGCATTTCTATACACGTGGGTCAAGCTGGTGTCCAAATTGGTACGTCTACATGGGAGCTGTATTGTCTAGAACATGGAATTCAACCTGATGGTACAATTCCTGCGAGTAAGACGTCCTTATGTTCATCGGACAATTGCTATGGAACATTCTTTTCTGAAGTAGAGAATGGAAAAATGGTTCCAAGAGCCATCATGGTCGATTTAGAACCATCAGTTATCGGTAAGTAATGACCACTGCTATCGTTAACGATTGGGCAGCTGTTATCAATTGAAAAAATTATTTTAGATGAAGTTAGATCCAGCAAATATAAGCACCTGTATCATCCCGAACAACTGATAACTGGTAAAGAAGACGCTGCTAATAACTACGCCCGTGGACATTACACAATCGGAAAGGAAATGATTGACGTTGTCATGGAGAGAATTTATAAACTGGCAGAGAATTGTTGCGGACTTCAGGGGTTCTTCGTATTCCACTCGTTCGGAGGCGGAACTGGATCGGGTTTTACCTCACTTCTAATGCAGAAATTGTCTCAGGATTTCGGAAAGAAAAGCAAACTGGAATTCGTTGTCTATCCTGCGCCCCAGGTACAAATCCCTAAATGTATTTAGCCTATGTATAACCCATACAGTTAATAGCAATTCAGAAGCACAGTTTGAAAATATCAAATTAAAGATTTTGATCATTTTACGTTCATTAAAAAGTGTGCGGAACGATTAGCCACAAGGCATGCGTCTACTGGACTTAAAACGGCGCCAAGAGAATACAATTATAAAATAGATATCACAAAGTATGTTCTGCACTTTATTTTATTAATATCGGTTAAGCAGGTGTTAAAAAACATGATCATAATAATCCAAACCCGCAAGAATGGAGCTAGATCAAGAACATATTATGAATAAATCAGAGATAAATTATTAACGTTTAAGTAACAGTCAATTTTTTGTAGGTACTTATGTCTATATTAAAATTAATTAGTTCTGTAAGACAAGGAAAGAGGAGAGAGAGAGCTTTCAAATTTACCCCAAAAACATTTTGGTCTCATAAATATTTTGATTTTAAAGGTTCTTAAAACGTTCAAAAACACCAACAAAAAATTAAAATAGTAGTTTATAAAATGTTAAAAAAGAATCTTAACATGGGTTTCACCAACTAACGAATCCTTAAATAAGAAGTTTATGACAAAACAAGGACTAGATTCAAAATATTTAATCATTAATTGTTTATTTAGTTTAAATACTAGGTATACATAATTTAATTTAATTTCAATAACATATTTAAAAAGTTCTACAAAACTAATTGTCAATTTAGGTTTGCACAGCTGTAGTTGAGCCGTACAACGCAATTTTGACGACACACATGACCCTTAACCATTCCGATTGTGCCTTTATGGTGGACAACGAAGCCATTTACGACATATGTAGGAGAAAACTAGGAATCGAAAGGCCTGACTACATCAATCTGAATCGCTTAATCGGTCAGGTGGTGTCTTCTATTACAGCTTCCCTTCGTTTCGACGGGGCCCTGAACGTAGATCTTACGGAATTTCAAACGAATTTAGTCCCATATCCGAGAATTCACTTTCCCCTGGCCTCCTACGCGCCGGTGGTATCATGCGAAAAGGCATACCACGAGGGTATGTCCGTTTCCGAAATAACGTCTGAACTCTTTGACCCTGCCAACCAAATGGTAAAGTGCGATCCGAGACTGGGCAAATACATGGCTTGTTGTCTTCTCTATCGCGGAGATGTCGTACCTAAAGACGTAAACGCGTCAATTGCACAGATGAAGGCCAAAAGTAACGTCCGCTTTGTGGATTGGTGTCCAACAGGGTTCAAAGTTGGTATAAACTATCAGCCACCCACTGTTGTGCCAGGTGGCGACTTGGCAAGAGTTCAAAGGGCCGTTTGTATGCTCTCCAATACCACGGCAATTGCAACGGCTTGGAGCAAATTGAACAGGAAATTTGACTTGATGTACGCTAAAAGGGCTTTTGTACATTGGTACGTTGGAGAAGGGATGGAAGAAGGAGAATTCGCTGAGGCAAGGGACGACCTTGCAACTTTGGAAAGGGACTACGAGGAAGTGTCGTCAGAAGCACTGGAAGAAGACGAAGAAAACGCTATTAGTTTGTAATGTATTAACATCAAACAATACATTTTTATCTCGATTATAATTATTTTACAATTTTACTTTGTTTGCATTAAAGGATTTGTTTAAAAATAAATTTTAATACTATTTTTTAAATGTTTTAAAGAAAATTCAGAAATTACAATACTAAGGACATTTTGATGCAATAATGTGCTTAAAAGGTCTTATGCACTTTATTTCTGCTACCTGTTTACTAAATTTCATTAAATAAATGCATTTTACGTAAAAATAATAAAATAAATTCTTACATAACAGTTACCATTAGTTCTTTGGGTTTAGTTCTTGTTGGAGGGTTACAAACTCATATTTTAATATTGTAACTTGTTACTTGTTAACCTAATTTTGAATCGAAATTATTTTATCTATCGATTCAATAATGTTTTGCTGATTATAATAATCCTTTTCCCAAAAAACTGATGCGTGTGCTAGTTAAAACCGCATCCAAATCGGTCTAACGTCAAGAAAGTTATATACTTTTCAAAAACGCCCTTCATATGCAAAAAGATTACGATATAATACTAATGTTTACTATAATACAGGTTAATAACCCCATTATTCAATGGAGTAGTTGTATTATGAATGAAAATATGAATGAACTGCCCTTCAATGTATTTTTATTATCTTCCTATTGGCTGTTGTCACGTGGTGTCAATCAATCAGTAAATATATAACTGTCATTCTGACATGTACACTGGTATTTTTGAAAATAAATCGACATTTTAAATGAAAACTTAATATAATAAGCGGAAAAATGATTTATTAGTATTTTATACAAATAAATAAACAAGTTTTTGTGGTTTTGTGTGCAATAATCATATAAAATGAACGTTACAAACAGAAATATACCTTAATACCTGTTGGTCGAGCTCTGAATGAAGATTTTGTAAAAATTATAGTTTTATCTTTTTACTTCTTTTAAACAAAACGGATACATATCATAATTTAGTGATTAATTTTTATTATGGATTAGAACTATAACAATTTGGAGATGTACCTTCGACAAAATTAATTTTTTGGTAAGTTTCTACCATTAAAAAGTNGTCTGTGTTTTCTTTTATTGAAGTTTTTATCATTGTTACTACCAAAACGATCTGGACGTCTATCATAGCGATTATGATAATTATCTCCATATGGTCTGCTGTAGGGAGAATCATTAAAACGCCTTCTTTCTTGATAATCAGAGTTATTGGAGTGCTTTCGGGATTCCACATGATGGGTATAGGAATAATTCTTACTTGGGTTCATATATGGATTCAGCTTTGGAGATCTGTTAAAGTCATTATTTAAAGCCTGAGGGAATCTTAATTGTTGGCAAGCTCGAATTTGATTTTGATTAACACTTGAATTTCGTGGCTTAATGTTTAGGGCTTGATTGTATAATTCTATACCATTTAAAAGTTCGGTTGCATAAAGTACAGATGACTGATGTTTGAATGTAACAAATGCAAAGTTACATTGCTTGCCATCCTTATCCTTAGGTATTTTCACTCTTTGGAGAGGAGCAGCTTGCAAAAACAGTTCAAACAAAACTTCTTCAGATACCTTTTGGGAAAGATTTCCTATCCATACTGTACGAACTTCGTCGTCTTCATTCATGGTGATTAAATCCTTGTGTGTACACTATGCAAAATTTTAACTACGTAATTTCTTAATTTTACAGTTAAATTTTATAAAATTTTTTCAATTTTAGGCAGTGAAACAGTGCATATAACCTCATTTATTTGACGTTTCATTTTATGTATTTTGCTTTGTATACATATAAGATATCCATACATACTTACTTTTCCATAAGTTTAAATCATCATATTCAGTCATATCATAATATTAGTAAATAGGAAATAACAAATAAATTTGCTTCTGTGCATTTTATTCTCTATTTACATACACGCTGCCGTAGCACTTACAACTGGTAAAAAATGCTATTCTAGTTAAAAAGAGTTCTTGTATGTGCAATTTTTCATTTTTTTTAAATTAAATTAAATAATTAATCACTATTTAATAATTATTTATAAGCCATAATTATAAAGTAACGTTATTTTGGAATATAATCTAATTAACATGAAACTAAAAAGTTTTTCTATGCACTGCTCTTTGCCCTTCTTCGTCGTATTCTCGTTTTGAAACCCACATTTTCTTAAACGTGTCCAAAGACGCCAAAATCGAGCCCCCTATCCAGGTGGAATACAATCGCTCCTGGGGTGCTGAAATCTAAAAATCCGGTTAAAATAAATATTATGAGATTAAATTACACAATAACTCAACTTACTTTAATCTGTACGTCTTTTGGTGATAACCTTTTGATTTCTGATAAAAGACGATCTCCAAAGCCCTAAAAAATTTTTAAGCACACATCAATAAATAATTTGGAATTCGCTTTTTAAAACTTTTTGGGTAAAAATTATCCTTTCCCCTACAATTGTCTTTTAATGAGTATGCATTAAGGCTTTATATTTTCATTACAAATTAAATTTAAGATTTATTAAGGTGGACCATTCGATAAAGGCATGCTTTTACCAATTGCTAATTACCTTAAACAATGTTGATCCTCCTGACAAAACAATGTTCCTAAATAACACCTTCCTAAGATCTAGATCAGATTTATTTATAGAATACATAAGGACTTCATGTAGGCCTTCACACTCTTCACCAACTAGGTCAGGTCTAAAGAGCACCTCAGGTGCCCTAAACTTTGCAGGTCCAATTTGTATGGTGTTACCATCAGGTAACGTATATGAAGTATGTTCTGCCTCAAGGGTTTCCTCTTTAATGGGATTATTTGCTAAATAACATTCTTTTTCTTTTATTGTTCTTACAGTTTCAAATTCTGCAGTTGTTCTAAAGTTAATACCCTCTTTCCTGAGAAGTAACCTTTAAAAATTATATATTTAGAAACATTATACTCCTTTTACTCTTGCACCTTACTTAAGATAGCGAGTTACATCTCTACCAGCTATGTCAATTCTCATGATACTATGTGGCATTGCAAAACCCTCATATATAGGCACTGCATGTGTTACTCCATCCCCTGAATCTAAAACTACCCCAGTGGTTCGTCCAGTAGAGTATCTACATAATGATTAACTTTGTAAGGTACCAACTTATGAAACAAAATAAAAAACTGCTTACAAACTCAGTACAGCCTGTACAGAAATAAAGAGTGCAGGTACATTGAATGATTCAAAAAATAATTCTGCAGTCTTCTCTCTATTTGGTCTTGGATTTAGAGGTGCTTCAGTTAACAACACAGGATGTTCTTCTGAGAATGTAGAAAGTTGATGTTTGCTATAAATATATGTCCAAATTTTCTCCATATCATTCCAATCAGTAACAATCCCATGTTCCATGGGGTATCTTATAGACAATAAACCTCTGTGCTCTTCAGCTTTTGGACCTATAAATACATCTCCTTCCAATGCTCCTGCCATAACTCTAATATGTTTAGGCCTACCAATACTGTAAAGAATTTTATGTAATAATGAGTTAGATTACTGTGGATATTCTTACTAGTTTGGAAATCTACATTTTGGTATTTGATCACCAGCAAACCCTGCTTTGATAACTCCAGACCCCTATAAACATAAAGTTTTGGATGACACCCTGTTTTACCATTCTTGTATTGGATTACTCACGTTATCAATAACCACCGGTTGATTTACCATACTATCATAGGGCTCCATGTTTATGCTTACAATTATAATATCACTTATTATATTATATAAATAAAAATAACTACATAAACTGAATTGCACTGGATTTGGCGAAAAAAGGGCAACGAACCACAACTTTATTGAAACGATGAGTAAAATTTGACGTTTGACAAAACTCTCAGATAGAAGATGACATAATTTGCAAGAAATGGTTAGAGTATCCCAAGTTGTAAAAGAAATATTTTTTAATAAGTAAATTAAAATGAATATACTATTATAACTTAAACAACTTTATCATAAAATGCATAAAAGTTTGTGACATACGTTTGTGATTATTAGACCTCTGTAAAATCTTGATGCCATTCTTTTTTTCTTTCTATTTATTTCTACCATTGAGTTCATAAACTTTTCCACTTTCTATTTTCTTGTTTTATTCAAATTCAATTGTATGATTCTTTTGGCGCTAAAGAACGTTAGCGTTTTGGGTTATATTTATTTATAACTATAAATTATTGATGATAAAAGTGTTTTAAGTGTAGTTTGTTTGCAAAAATTGATAAACTGAAAAATTGAAATGGATGCACAAGATGTAGATCGAACATTGAGGGACATCCAAAAAGAATATTTAGATTTTTTGGATGATGAGGTTAGTTTCATTAATTTGTTATTTATATATAGTTTTATTTATTCTTTGAATATATATTATATATCAGGAAGACCAAGGAAAGTACTCACAGTTAATAAAAACCATGCTAGAAGAAAAAAGTCGACGATTAATAGTTAATATAAATGATCTACGAAGAAAGAATCCTGTCAGGGCTAATGAGCTCCTTACCAACTCTTTTCAAGAACAAATAGCTTTCCAGAAAGCCTTAAAAGATTACCTTGTAGCAGTGCCTGATTTTCAAATAAAGGATAATGAGGAATATTTTATTGGTTTTGAGGGCAGTTTTGGGAATAAGCATGTGACCCCTAGGACACTTCATTCGCGTTTTCTGGGTAATCTTGTCTGTGTGGAAGGAATAGTAACAAAATGTATGAACATTATTTTACTTTAGATCATAATGAATGAATTAATTGTTTTTGTAACAGGTTCTTTAGTGCATCCCAAGGTTGCACGTAGTGTTCATTACTGTCCTGCTACAAAGAAGGTAATGGAAAGGAAATATACTGATTTGACATCATTAGAAGCATTTCCAACAAGTTCAGTTTATCCGACTAAAGATGAAGATGGCAACTTGTTGGAGACTGAATTTGGATTGTCAACTTATCGAGATCACCAAACTCTTTCTATTCAAGAAATGCCTGAAAAGGCACCTGCAGGACAACTTCCACGATCTGTAGACATAATTTGTGATGATGATTTAGTAGATTTATGTAAACCAGGGGATAGAATTCAAATTGTAGGAAACTACAGGTGTCTGCCAAATAAACAAGGATATTTCACTTCAGGAGCCTTTAGGTTGATATTAAATTGCTTACTTTATTTACTAATAATTTCTCATATGATTTTTTCCAGAACTGTCATAATTGCCAACAATATTCAACAGCTCAGTAAAGAAGCAGATTGCAGTATAACCAGAGAAGATGTGGCAAAATGTAAAGGCCTGGCCAAAAAGCATAAAGATGTTTTTGGTCTTCTGGCTAAATCTTTGGCTCCCTCAATCCACGGTCACGATTACATAAAAAAAGCAATTCTTTGCCTTCTCTTGGGGGGTGTCGAAAAAGTTCTTCCTAATGGCACTAGACTAAGAGGTGATATAAACGTCCTTCTGGTTGGAGATCCAAGCGTTGCAAAATCCCAACTCCTACGTTACGTTCTTCATACAGCCCCTAGAGCTATCACCACTACGGGTAGGGGCTCTTCTGGTGTGGGTTTAACAGCAGCTGTTACTACTGACCAAGAAACAGGCGAAAAAAGATTGGAGGCAGGCGCTATGGTTCTGGCCGATAGAGGAGTTGTATGTATTGATGAATTTGATAAAATGACTGACATTGATCGAACAGCAATCCATGAAGTTATGGAGCAAGGCAGAGTTACCATTGCAAAAGCGGGGATTCACACTAGTTTGAACGCTAGATGTTCCGTCTTGGCAGCAGCCAATCCGGTTTATGGAAGAGTAAGAATCTATTTATTGTATATGAATTTTAAATAGTATATACTATGCAAAATGCACAGGGAAATTACCCATGAAGCCATAAATTTCAGTTTTTGTTAAAATTACTATTATCAGCATTTAAATATTATACTGAAAATTGGGCTAGTGTGCGACTAAGAAAAGATATTTTAATTAATAATACCAAAATTTTTAATAGTAAAGCGAATATCAGTAAAAACTGCCTAATACAGTTGAGTACTGAGACACTGACGAGGAAAACTCGAATAATAAAGTAAAAAAAATTTTTTGGTACTTTGATTTTATTTATTTGATTTTACCTTCAATTTTTAATCACGTTCAGTCTAACATTACACATAAAAGAAATTATGAGTGCTGTCAGCATAGTGCTAAATAGTATTACGTAGTTAGTATCAGTAATTTCTTATGCTGAAGTGTACGATGTGTTGCATACCTATTTACAAACAATTCCTTTAAATTTAAATAACACGTACTTAAAAAGTCCTTTATTTTTTACCTTATTGTTTGTTTAATTGTAGTATGATCAGTACAAGACACCAATGGAAAACATTGGTCTTCAAGATTCTCTTCTGTCACGTTTTGATTTACTATTTGTTATGCTTGATACAGTTGATGAGGATCAAGATAACAGAATTGCTGACCACGTTGTTCGAATGCATCGATACAGGTAATAAACATTAGGATGTCTTAAAAAATTAGATTAATATGTATTTTTCTCTCTTCCGTAAAGGAATCCTTTAGAACAAGACGGCGAAGTGTTACCCATGAGTTCAAACGTTGATTTCCAAAGTACCTATAATATGGATGAAGCAAGTGATGAAGCTAGGGAAACCGTTATATATGAAAAATATGATCCTCTATTACACGGTCCTCATCGTAAACGTTCAGATAAATATTTAAGTGTGGACTTTATGAGAAAATACATTCGTCTTGTTAAAATTTTGAAACCTGTTCTTACTGAAGAAGCTTGCGAAATTATCGCAGATGAATATTCCAAACTTAGATCGGAGGAAAATTTAGAAGCTGATGTTGCCAGAGTAAGAAATATTAAATTCTGTTTAATAAAATTGCTTATTTTTTTCAATGTTTTGTGATTTTATATTATTTTAGACGACTCCTGTGACTGCTCGTACACTAGAGACTATGATTCGTTTATCCACAGCTCACGCTAGGGCTCGAATGTCTCGTACGGTAACTGAAGATGATGCACATGCAGCGATCGAACTGGTACAATTTGCTTACTTCAAGAAAGTTCTTGAAAAAGAAAAACGTAAAAGGAGGAGAGTGTCAGAAAACGAATCAAGTGATGAAGACGATGATCAAAGGCCCAAAAGAACTAGGACTGTAAGTTGTTTTTTCTTTAAATTACAATCATTTCATTTTAAGGTATATATCAATTACAGCAAGAAACAGGTTCTGAACGAGAAACCAGATCTTCTCAAAGAAGGACAAGTACTGAAGGGGAAGACAGAATGGATGTGTCATTTGAAATTAACGGAGAGACAAATACAACTGTTATAGTTCATGAAGAAAACAAAGAAGCAGAAGAGACCATGGAAGTTGATGCCAGTATTTCTGATGATAGACTTCAAAAGTTTAAGAAAAATCTTTTACAACTTTTCAAAGACAACCGAACTTCATCCCTAGCCTTGGCGAAAATAAAGGAGGGCGTAAACGTCGATATGGCAAGCCCATTTACTCAAAACGAAATTACAGCAGCAATTAAACGTATGACTGAAGATAATCAAGTTATGATGGCAGACGGAATTGTTTTTCTAATTTAAGAATTTGATGCCTTTCTTAGGGCCTTTTTCTGATTTTACCTATACTCAATATTTCCATATATTTGGAATCTTCGATAAGTAATTAATTAAATAAGAAGTAAATCAAAGCCAAGAAAAATATCTTATCAGTCAATTTATTTTTATATTCTTTAAATTGCCAAGTAACTTTGTGTACAAAATATATCACATTATAATATAATTAAAGTAAATCAATAACAGATGTAATTTAATGATGATGTCTGTGTTTTCTTTTATTGAAGTTTTTATCATTGTTACTACCAAAACGATCTGGACGTCTATCATAGCGATTATGATAATTATCTCCATATGGTCTGCTGTAGGGAGAATCATTAAAACGCCTTCTTTCTTGATAATCAGAGTTATTGGAGTGCTTTCGGGATTCCACATGATGGGTATAGGAATAATTCTTACTTGGGTTCATATATGGATTCAGCTTTGGAGATCTGTTAAAGTCATTATTTAAAGCCTGAGGGAATCTTAATTGTTGGCAAGCTCGAATTTGATTTTGATTAACACTTGAATTTCGTGGCTTAATGTTTAGGGCTTGATTGTATAATTCTATACCATTTAAAAGTTCGGTTGCATAAAGTACAGATGACTGATGTTTGAATGTAACAAATGCAAAGTTACATTGCTTGCCATCCTTATCCTTAGGTATTTTCACTCTTTGGAGAGGAGCAGCTTGCAAAAACAGTTCAAACAAAACTTCTTCAGATACCTTTTGGGAAAGATTTCCTATCCATACTGTACGAACTTCGTCGTCTTCATTCATGGTGATTAAATCCTTGTGTGTACACTATGCAAAATTTTAACTACGTAATTTCTTAATTTTACAGTTAAATTTTATAAAATTTTTTCAATTTTAGGCAGTGAAACAGTGCATATAACCTCATTTATTTGACGTTTCATTTTATGTATTTTGCTTTGTATACATATAAGATATCCATACATACTTACTTTTCCATAAGTTTAAATCATCATATTCAGTCATATCATAATATTAGTAAATAGGAAATAACAAATAAATTTGCTTCTGTGCATTTTATTCTCTATTTACTATTATACTGATCTGCTAGCTTTTTTTTATAAAATGTATATCAGTGATCCACAAGTATATGGAATAGTAGGTTGATTAGGGATGTTTGAAAATGTCAGTGGAAATTTGACGGTTTTGACTGACAGTTATTACTAATGGGGTGCTGTGTTCTTACTGTGAACTTTCGTTTATTTTTCGTGTTAATGATTTTTTTGACTCCAAGTGAATAAAATTTGTGATATATTCGCCTAGCCTCGAATGGAAAAGATGGTAAGAAATACTTTCTTTTGAAATATATTGACCGTGTGTTTGCTAACAAAAAACAAAGTCTCGATTCTAATTTGTCCACCAATTATCTTAAAATTATCGTACTGTTCCACCAATTATCGCTTATTTAATGTACTACTATGAAATAAATCCTAAATATATCCACTTTCTTATCTGTGAAGCTCTTTTAAATCCTCCCTAATCTACACATCATGAGAGTGTCTAATACGTGATGTAAAATGGTTGATGTTTATTTCATGTTATTATGTTAAAATCGCTACCAAATAATCGAATCGTCTATTTTTGAATTAAATAGACATTGGGATCCTTTCATATTTACAAATAATATAAATAGGTACTGAATGTGGTGGTGGCTACTGATAATTTAGAAAACCTTGAACGACCCCTCTTAATGGTGGAGTGGCTAAAGTAGTGATTTTTGAACTAAAAGCTTCGAGTTCTATGCCATCTGCGAACACACTTTTTTCTGTTGTCTTTTTTGGATAAGTAACTTCAAACCATTTAGTTATTTTTATGTGCAGTATGAAAATGTGTATTTTTATTTATTTTTTCACATGGAAATTTTGCGAATAGTTTAATTGTAAAGTGCTGTCGTTAAAATTATTATTTGATGAAATACCTGAAATGTCGTCAACCTTAATAAACATAGAAATTGTATATGAAATAAAAAAATGATCTTAAAAAACGTATATTATTTATAATAATTATCGATTATATATGTAGGTATTAAAAATTTAACAAAAAAAATGTTTGTACAAGAGAAGAACAGGGTTGCTAATAATGCTTTACTTTTCATAACGCATTACTCAAAAACAATAGTAGATACCACTGCTCCTTAAAAATGGTAATTATTAGTGCGAATTCTTTCCATTACTCATGAAAGAAGTATTAATGGAAAATATTTCCTTTATCTACTCATTACAAAATCTTTTTGCAACCCTGCAAAGGGCAACTTAAGTACTTATTTAGGAATATCGATTAATACTCATCAGTGTATCTGTGAAATAATATTATCATGACGACACTGCAACCATCTCGTATTGTCTTTTGCTACGATCAAACGATTCTCCTTTAAGTATAAACTGAATCTCCTCGAGTGTTTTCCCTTTAGTTTCTGGAATATAAAAATAAACAAATAACGCAGCCAGGAAACATGAAGCGGCAAAAATGTAAAAGGGAACATGTTTTCCATACAGATCGGTTAAACCTTGATAAATATTGATCGAAATAATCGCGAAGATTACGTAAAACGCGTCCGAGAGCGTCATCCCCATCGCTTTCACGCTGGTCGGAAAAAGTTCCCCGGTCGAAACAAGGGGAACCATCCCCAAACCGCACTTAAAAGCAACCGAATACAGAAGGACAGATGCCAGCGGAATCCAGTTGAATTCAGTTACTTCCATCCCCGCGTTTTCGACGGCAAAATACGTAGATAAAATGAAGAGGGATATACCGGTCAAAACACTGGAACTAATTAGAAGCACCTTTCGGCCAAATCTGTCAACTATCAGGGACCCTGCCATACATGCCACAAGCATTATTACAGAAACGATTATAGCAGAAGTGTTGGCCGAAAAATACCCATCCCCGAGGATACTGTGCACGTTCATGAGCATGATACTTATGCTGCTGAAGTGTTGAAAGGCATTCAGGGACGTGACGATTAATAAAGCTTTGCGATTGCTTTTTATTTTGAGAAGATCGATCGGTCGCCCCTTTTCCGATTGTTGTCTTTCCACAGCCAGACGGATCTCTTCCAGCTCCTTGTGGACGTCATCGCGAGCTCGAAGTCTTTGCAGAGATTGCAACGCTTTCCGGTGCTTTCCCTTCACGATTAGATAATAAGGCGATTCGGGCATGAAACTGAAAGTCATTAGTTGAAACGTTACAATTGCGGCTCCTACTGACGACGATATTGCTAGAGAAACGTAAGGCGCTACGACGTAGATAATGAGAATGCCGAGCATCATCATAATGACGATCATTGACCCCAAGAAGCCGCGAATACGTTTGTCCGCGATTTCCCCGATGTACATGGGAGCGGCCACGAATCCGACGTCTCCAGCAAGACCGGCGATGAACTTGGCCGCAAAGAGAACCCCAACGGTCGAAGCTACGGGGATCAGGACCCAGGCTATAAGATGGAGAACGGCGGCCATAAGGATTGACATTTTTCTTCCGAATTTGTCTACGATAAAAATTGTCACGCCGAGACCGGCCAAACCACCTAGCATGTATGCATTTTCTAGCCACACGATGTCTTCATGCGTAATGGCAATGGGGGTGTCGTTTCTCTGAAGGATCGGAATGACCGGTGCCGTCCATCCATATTGCATGCCATCTGTTATAGCCCCGATTGTTCCTGAAATTAATAGAATAGTCAGTAAAAATTATGCGTTTTTAAGGTTTTCAAATGCATCAAATATGTTGACAGAATTTCACAAAACATTCTTCGATGTTGATGAAACTTTATTTCTTAATTGACTAAATGGCAGAAATAGAACTCGCTATATGTAAATCAAACATGTTGATGAAACTTCACAAAACATTCTTCAATGTTGATGAAAACTTTATTTATTTCTTAATTGACTAAATGGTAGAAATAGAACTCGCTGTCTGTAAATCAAACATGTTAATGAAACTTCACAAAACATTCTTCGATGTTGATGAAATTTTATTTATCAATTGACTAAATGGCAGAAATAGAACTCGCTATATGTAAATCAAACATGTTGATGAAACTTCACAAAACATTCTTCAATGTTGATGAAAACTTTATTTATTTCTTAATTGACTAAATGGTAGAAATAGAACTCGCTGTATGTAAATGAAACATGTTGAAGGAACCTCACAAAACACTCTTCGATGTTGATGAAATTTTATTTCTTAATAGATTAACTAGCAGAAATTAAAACTCGCTGTATGTAAATGAAACATGTTGACGGAACTTTTCAAAACATTCTTCGATGTTGATGAAATTTTATTTCTTAATTGACTAAATGACAGGAATAAAACTCGCTATATGTAAATCAAACATGTTGACGGAACATCACAAAACATTCTTCGATGTTGATGAAACTTTATTTCTTAATTGACTAAATGGCAGAAATAGAACTCGCTATATGTAAATCAAACATGTTGATGAAACTTCACAAAACATTCTTCGATGTTGATGAAACTTTATTTCTTAATTGACTAAATGGCAGAAATAGAACTCGCTATACCTAAATCAAACATGTTAACAGAACTTCACAAAACATTCTTCGATATTGATGAAATTTATGAAACTTGTCAAGTGTTTTCTTCATTCAAATTTTTGTATGTAATTGTAAAAGAAGACAAACATAAGCGGACGTTATTCGTACATGACGTCGTTATCAGGGGCGTACTGAAGACTAGTTGTGGAAACTTGTACCTAAATACGGACCTAATATGTGTAACGTACACGTCCTTTTTCATTGTTTTGCTATTTTAACAATTCTTTAAAGACGTTTACTTTGTTAAAACAACAGTTGCATTTGTTGTTACATTTTTGATAATGGTTATATTAGTTAACAAATGTTTCGAGTTATTTATTCTATTGTTTTATTAGGTATTAAAAATTTGTTGTTTGCAATTGTATGAGTATAAACTCATGCTATATTCAAGGTTTAGGTTCATTTGCGATTAAAATGCAAAAATAATGCATATAATATAAGGTCAATATCAATCAACTTATCGCATCGACTTTTTATTGACGTAATAAGGTAATAACATTCACTGTATTTGTTGATATATGATTGCAGCGTAGGCATACTGTAATATTTTACATATGTAAAACAGTTTCGATTATTCTTGTAACTTTTTAATTGACCGTATAATAAAAAATTCAAAAAATTACAAGTACCTATATTTATGCATTTATATGTATTTTAACTAAGTTTATGTGGAATTGGATTAAAAGAAAATTAATTTTTGCTTGTTCCTTTCTTTCCTTTATTGTCCTATATGTGCTCCTATCTTATACCACATTCATCCCTTTACGATGAACCTAATAAATTCCACATGCAACACATTTTTGGAAAACTGCATCCATCTTCGAAAAATAATCTAATTTCTTTCTTAACTCCTGTTTCTGCTTGTCTCTAGCTAGACGTTCATGTCTGAGAAGGTCTCCTATCGGCCTACCCCATCTAGGCATTTCTTATTGACTGCCCTTTCAAGTTCCTCATCTTCATGTCTAATTTTTTCTATTCTTGGTACTATTAATATCGAAACCACAAATCGATGGCTTTAGATTTTATTTGGTTTTTAAATTTCAAATAAGAATAAGAAATATTAGTTTCTTTTGTTACACTGAATCGTCGCTAAATTTGTGCGAAGAAGACTGCTATTTCGTAAGTTGTAACCTTGAAATGCAAATTAACTGTTGCATAATATATTTAAATGTGTTTTTTTATCGTGGAATTTGTCATTACAATATTATCTGTGACTTGGAGTTGAAAAGGGACAATATTTATTTTGTGCTTTTTTGAGTAAAACGTTGCTTTATCTGCCTCTTCTTGTTTTCTTTCATATGCTAAAATGTCCAATGTCAAATTCACGCAAATTTTTGATCGGTAAATGGTAATGATAACCAATGTCATTGTAGTTCATTCAGTTCAACGTAACCTAAAGGGCCAAAATTTTTGAAAAATTAATAACAATATGATAATTTGTTTAAGCATTGTTACGTAAAACTGACTTTGTTAAATTGTAATTAAAAGTATTTGTGACGAAAATTTCAACTAATATTTTCTTAAATGTGAAAATTTTTACATTGGCCCTTCTAGCCACAGAGTTATTGTAAATATTTTCTGTAATTTCAACACAGTTGCATAAATTAACTTTTATCATCAGTTTAAATTTACTAAACGTGACCAAAAAACACACATTTCTGTCTATCGTTCAACGTAAATCGGTAAATTACCGAAATATTACAATGCATACGCACTTGGTTTTGCGTTAAAAATCAGTTCAAGTATTATAAATATATTCCAGTAATAGAAATGTTTATTTACGTGAGGCAATTTTCAGTAAACCTTTTGATCTGTTAACGCGAAAATATTAGTATTTTTATTACAGAGGTATTACCGCATGCGTGTTAACTTTTTCTACTTACATGTACCACCATTTCTTTTTTTTTTTTTAATGAAATTACTTAGCTGCAAATTTCTCAAAAATGTAAAACTAACACTAATTTGCATCAGTATTTTGAGGCCAAAATTAGAAACAGACCGTTTCAGCAGGACAGGTCTGAGACATTTTGAATTTGTTTTGTTCACGGTAAACGGCGGTCTAGCATAATTAATATTTTGAGAAAATGAAAAAGAAAAATTTACGATAATTTTTAATTTTTTTTATACTTAAAAAGTGCAAATGAAAGTACAGTAAAACGCTATTGTACTTATCACTTACATGTCAATTATCAAACTTAACACTTCATTAAATACCGCCAGCCATATGAATAAAAGTACTTATCACATTTTTCTTCAACAAATATTTGTTTGTTAAATATTTATTTACCTTTCTATGTAAATAAGTGCGAGTAGGAGTATATGTATATATACGCAAAAATAGGTAAATTTTAAAAGTATTAAACAAAGTGCGTAAATATGCATAGATAGTATTTAACGGGTCATTATTTCAGCCAGTCAACATAAAAAATCCAGGATGTTGATAGTAATAATCTACTATAACGTTTCAGTTTTTGTTGCAGTTACAATTTTATTTTGTTAACATTGCAAATAAATTTGTTCCGTACGTTGTTAGATGATTGCCTTAACAACGTTCGTTTTTACAATGATTGCAGTATTGTATGCAAGGCTTTTATTAAATCAATTTTATATCAAGGGTAATCATGAAAAAGCGATAAAAAAAACAGAATAATGTTCGTTCCTTGAAATAATAAGTGGCAGGTCCGTTATTATAAATTATTTTAGTACCTAAATTTGTTTTTTATTTTTAGGACACCTTTGCATTATATCCCAGTTATAAATATACCTTTTGATTTAATTTAAACTAGTTCTTCCACCTGCCCCCGGCCATTTTTGTTGCTTCGCTATGACGTAGTGTCGGCCATCATTCTTTTCTAATTGTTGCCGTTGTCGGCCATCATTCTTTTTCAATTGTTGTCGCATTGTCACTGATGTCGGCCATTATGGTTTTTTAATAGATGTATAATAATGAATGATTAAAATTTAAAGAAATTGTTTGTAAATAGGTATGCAACACATCGTATACTTCAGTATAAGAAATTGCTGATATTAACTACGTAATACTACTTTGTCCTGTGCTGTCAGCACTCATAATTTCTTTTATATATAATATTATAAATCCGGAAAATTACTTGTAGGTGTTTAGTTTTCTCATCATAAAGAAAAGCGGTTTTTTTTAAAACTGCGGTTGTATTTCGTCAGCTATCATTACTTTCAAAACCGCCTAGGCGAAACAGTTATTCGTAATAATGGTTGATGAATTGATCTTTTTAAAAGATTAATTACGAATTATGTGGCATTATGAGATGAAGTGGGTACAATACAGATGGACTTTAGTTACCTACTTTGTTTTTTTTATGTTGTATTGTTAATTGAACAAGATGAAATTGCTTACCCTGCTATAATAATAATCACAATATCTCTTTAATGTCAATGCAGCAGTTAATTGCCTGAGATAAAAATTCAATCAAGAAATCGTACTGTGTTAGTCTGGAAAATTACGTTGTCATTTTTTTTTTTTTGAAAATAGCTCAATTAAATGGTAGATGTTACAAGTAGCCTGATCTTCATTACTGTACATAAAAAAATATATAGCAAATGAAGACGAAGGGACCAAGAGTAAAATGATAAAAAAAATGTTTACAATCCTGTAGTCGTAAACAATTAAAAAGTGACCAAAGAATTTGAAGAATAGGAGAATTATAATGGGATTACCCCAGAAATTTTGGAAATTCAAAATCTTCTAAATTCTTATATACGTATGTGTTGGTTATGATCTAATTCCTAGAAAAATTAGGGATAAAATATTTCCATAGTCTCGCTGGACACTGGTAGGCTTTTAATTATCTAGGAATTTCGTTTGATTTTATTGTTTACAATTCATACCAATGGTATGTTATGTAAACAAGTGTATTATGGTTCCAAAATTAATATTCGGCTAATTGTCTAAATTACCAAGCACGACATCCCATTTCTAATTCTTTATTAAAATATATCGATAGAATAATATCAGTTTAGGGGTAGGTATACGTAGTTGTTGATGGTTTTTTATTTTTTAATAGTCCATAAGAAATATTTCGTATATTTGTACATTTGGTAAATCATTATTAATTAAGCATTCATTATACCTACTCTGACTAAAAGGTAAATCATTAAAAATCTAAAAACATTAGACAGTAACGTCTCTCCGTTACGTTTTCGTTAAGTTCTGTAGTACATTTCTCAAGGTCGTCAATTTTTGGCGGTCACAATTCTATTCCTGGTTCATTGTAACAAGAACTTGGCTTTTGACTTTACTTACATACGCATTATTAACAAAATTAAAAAAAGGGAAACAAAAACTTCAATAATAATAGTTGCCTATATCCTCGCGTTTTTCGCAAATAATAAACTATTGTGAGACTCAAGGCCGAAGCTGTACGAAGGCGCAGAAAGGCCAATTTGAAAATTCCTACGTTCTTATACGAATATGTAACTCAATACTCAACTAGAAATTTCAGGTTGCAAGTCGAAATTTCGAGTTATAAGTCAATCCCGATAATGCGAGTGCATTTAAGACAATTATTGTATCGATAAATAAAAAACTTTTGTGCTTAAAAGGATTATTAAAAAAAAAACGTAATTATCAGAATTAATGGGCAAGACCAAAACTTAACACGCAAGACTAGGACTAACACCGAGACTATATCATCCAGGACCATGATCAAAAGGCCAACACTAGATGTATTTGAGTAAAGATCAAGTGTAACACCAAGACTGGAACAGTTTGCTTTGTTCTTCAGTAGTTCTTCTAGTTGAAACATTTATTTTATATAATATTTCATTATAATCGAACTGCATCGTTAAAAGTTGAAATAGAAATTTGCATTAGGTAATTGTGTAACTGTAAATATCCATTTTGTAATTTGCATATATTTGAAGCATTAGTGTGGCAGTATAAAGTAGCCTACTTGCAATTTTGTTGTTGAAATTAGAATACGAACAGTATTTGTATTACAAGCCTGCGATACGCGTTTGACAAAGCTCGCAAAAATGATAAGATATCATGTACGTGTATGAATATTGATTCGACAAATGGCTCGACATATGCACATTGTAAAGACATATATCAAATATAATCCAGAATTAATACCCCTGTCTTAAGATTTGTTTTGTCTATAATCACAAAAATTGTTATATCAAACGAAAAAATTTGTCTATCAGTTATCCTTTATTTGTTCAAAGGTTAAAGATCATGCTTTGGTACCATTATAAATTGTGAATAGAACTTCTATCTAACTACCTACGTATTCCACACGATGTTGATAAAAAAATGTGTAGTTTCTATGTTCGGTAAACGTCAAATGATTGTGATTTTTAATTAATTTCGATTAAACAACATCATGAATTATCAAAGGTAGGCAGGCGTATGTCACTACTCCATCATTTAATTAAACGTTTTGATAGTCACCTAAAGTTTGATATTTATCACAGAAACTTCGTGAAAGTGATGAAAGTGACGAACTCAAGTGTATGGGCCACTTTAAAATATAATTGTTTTATCGTTTCATTAAAACAATTGCATTTTTATCTTTGCCGAACAATTTCTGATTGTAAAATGCTTCCAGTACGCAGGTAGTAGTCAGTTTCAATTCAGTTGAGCTACCATCAGTGGCTTTTCAAAGGTAAATCAAATCTCATAACTTTGTCAGTGAAAATTGCTATAATTTGCCGAAATAGCATTCAAAATTTATCAGAACTTACTCTCATAGATAAGCAATTGTAAATAAAAAGTAAAAACTTTTGAAATTCTCGTCGAGTTCTCAGTTGATTCCTTTACAAATCAATAAAAAAATACAAAAGTTTTACCACAATGGACTAAAGACGTAAGGATTAGATCTAAATGGTGCTTACACTTATCAGATAGTATTAGATGTTTTGAACGCGTATTTAACGTAAAAATAGTTTTAAATTACACGCCAAGGATATGGACCTGTTGCATTTGGTGCCAAACTATTTCAGAAATTCGTTTTTTTAACACGTCATCGTTGCAATTTCGATTGCGATTGTCTGTTGTTTCGTAATAATAAAACATGAGAACATCAAACTTACCAGTCACAACGGCCAAGATTTGCGAAAATTCTCCTCTATTCATGGGATCAGTTAGCGGTACGCGAATTTTTCGTGACAATATTAAAAAGTTGTAATGATAACATTACCGGCGGACTATCGCGCTCGCTGAAAAGCGACTAACTGACTGATCGTGAATAAAAATCGAAGCAAAAATAACGTAATACGCTACTGGCTTGAATGTTTGTGTGTATATGTGTATGTGTGTGTAGTGTAATTATATCTAAGTGGGGAGGAAAAGAGATGGACGTATGAATACTGCTGTACTGTTTTATTACTTAAGTTTGTTGCGATCGCGCTAGGAGATTTCTGCAAGACACGCTCATCGTTGCCATGGTAATTCCGGCTTAAAACTTAACTGAAAGAAAGTGAAACAAAGGAAAGATGATTAATTTCTTTTCTTGAATTGTTGAATCGAATAAATAGTCAGTGAAGTTGAGAGCACACTAACACACTGATCATTAATCTACCTTTATTTGATTTTTGTTATTTTAATATATAAGTGACCTTAGTTTGGTACTTTTTGAAAAAAATCGTTAAATGTTACCCAATTTATAAAGTATCATGCATGGAAGCATCTTTAGGATAAAACTTTTTGATAATTTATATCTATAATGTATAAATAAGTAGCATACGTACTCGCTGCGGAAGTATTTGCGTAGGTTTAAGTTTCTACCATGTTCCTGTTTCTGCGATCATTAAAAAGTTTTTTACACAGGGATTATTTATCTAGAAAATTATCAGATAATTCAAATTTAAGGTAGAGAAAACGATGAAGACGTAAAATAAAGAGTAGCGCAGGGTTGATCAAACGGAAATGACTTCCGTACGGACGAACAGGTCTGATGCTGTCCTGAATCAGGACCTCTGAAGAATCTCGCCGTTCGTGTTAACGAAACGTTAGGAAGGAATCCCAATTAAAAAAATCGGATTGTGATATTTTCTAACCTTTTATAATTCAAAAAGAAAGCTTCATGCGAAGAGCTAGTTGATGCTAATTGATTTTAAAAAATGTCAGCTAATTTATAAAGTATCATGCATGGAAACCTCTTTAGGATAAAACTTTTTGGTAATTTATATCTACCATGTTCATGTTTCTATAACTTGACCTTTTAGAGAAAAAAATACAGTAGATCCTCGGTTAGATAAATACCAAAGGAAACGTAAAATAATTTGAGTTATTGAGGTTTTTACTTACTAAGGGTTTAAGTTTAAGCTTTAAAATTATGGATGTGGTATTGATGGGTTCAAAGCGACCTTTGTTAGACCTTTTCAACGTGTCGGCAAAACAATGCTGATGTAAGCTGATGATGACGTTTCAATAATAATAGTAATNTAACGTTCTACACACCTATAAAACTTTTGCTTTGTTTTCTATTGTTAATTTATATACATTTTTGTTTTAAGAAATTGCTAAACATTTTCGTCTACTACTGTACAGTTCTAGCCGATCTCCTAAGACCGCCCATCGAGAGCTCTGCTCGTTCAAGCTTGTTCCACCAACTATTTCTGTCTTGCTCACGCTTAGTGTGTATTCTTTCTATCTTCGCGCAGATTTCTTCAAGGTCACAATTCTAACAAATTGAAATGGACTGTACTCCGAGAACATTCTTGTAGATCCCTTTTATTAAACAGTGGTTTTTATATATTTAGTCTTAAAATCTAGTAAAGAAAACTGAAAATTTCAATTGCAAAGGATGAAAAGAAATATTAAAATTGCTTCAAATAGTTTAATTTTGCAAAACCAAATCCAAAAATGCAAAATCAGAACCAATTTTGCTGCGANAAACTTTTGCTTTGTTTTCTATTGTTAATTTATATACATTTTTGTTTTAAGAAATTGCTAAACATTTTCGTGTAGTACTGTACAGTTCTAGCCGATCTCCTAAGACCGCCCATCGAGAGCTTTGCTCGTTCAAGCTTGTTCCACCAACTATTTCTGTCTTGCTCACGCTTAGTGTGTATTCTTTCTATCTTCGCGCAGATTTATTCAAGGTCACAATTCTAACAAATTGAAATGGACTGTACTCCGAGAACATTCTTGTAGATCCCTTTTTTTAAACAGTGGTTTTTATATATTTAGTGTTAAAATCTAGTAAAGAAAACTGAAAATTTCAATTGCAAAAGATGAAAAGAAATATTAAAATTGCTTCAAATAGTTTAATTTTGCAAAACCAAATCCAAAAATGCAAAATCAGAACCAATTTTTCTGCGAATACATTTTTTTTTTCGTATAATAAGTTATTGTTTATTTTATTACTAATCCTATCGTTAACTAGTATCAAGGATTATCAAAATAACTTTCATGTTTGTGCATCGATTTTTCGATCCAAGGTTTTTATTCACTGTGCTATTGTAATTGTCATACGTAATTTCGTTACAAATCTCGTATCAATTTACCATTCAATAATTTCCGATTGAGTAACTTTCGTTTATCTGTTTTAGTGAATCGTACATTGTTAATTACACGCGCGACCAAAATTGTTTTCTTCCATCAACAATTTTTGAACTAATTGTAAGTGAACGTTCACATGCTTTTTTTAAATATGAGCCTTTGCAATTAACTCAGCTCTGACCTTTATAATTAGCTTGCGCAGTGAGATCATTAACTCAATCTGAAATAATTTAGAACATTCTTTTTTTGTCGGAATTGAAACGTATCTATGCTTCGCCATGGAACAATTTCATATGAGTTCTTCAGGAACCCGTTCAGAATTAAAATTGAGTATATTGTACAAAAAATATGGGTTAACTAACAGACTCGTTGGAATTTAAGACTTATTTTCCTTTTAAATTATGTATATGGTATGGAATTATCTAGTAATTATTGTAATTTAGTTAGTATCACTATTATTCTTCTGTTTTTACTCTTCTACTAATCTTTTTTGAAATTCTAAGTTATTTATTTTCATTTCATACTCAACGCTTAATCTAAGAATTCTAATCGTTTTCCCATGTGCCTACATCTATCCCAAAAGCTGCCCTGTCTTTAATGTTATATATAAAAGAAATTACGAGTGCTGACAGCACAGGGCAAAGTAGTATTACGTAGTTAGTATCCGCAATTTCTTATGCTGAAGTGTACGATGTGTTGCATACCTATTTACAAATAATTCCTTTAAATTTAATTTTTCAAACAATTCTTAAAACAAAGAAAGTGATTAAACAAATTGTTCACAAAAGGAATTTCGACCACTCGAAGCATGGTGCTAACAGTTACGAAAAAGGGGGGTAGAACTGGTAATATTAAATTTATTAAAAGATATTGAAATAATTCGTGCTACTCTGAGATATTAAATTTGTTTTGCGAATTTAGGTAATTGTAACTGACAAGTTAGTACATATGCAAATTTTGGGAATGTAAATTTAACGCTTAATTTTAAATAATTTTGAAGCCTTGCATTTTACACGAACTGTTTCGTTTGTGTGTATGTTATCATTTTTTTTTTCTGTGAAAATTCTCTAATAAAAGAAAACTAATTGTTAACACAATTTTATTTGTAATTACTTAAAGAATATGCACGTTTTTCTCCTTTGTATAAGAATTTTCATTCCAATTCAGTATGATATTTGGTAAAAAAACACTTTTTGAAAACATTCACTTAATTTTTATTAAATTCATAACAAGTTTCGACTTACAAGGCCATCTTCAGAAGAAGGATTAATTATTATCATTTCAAAAAGTGTTTTTTTACCAAATGTCATTATGATCAACTTTCAAATAGTAGAGGCCAACTCTATCAATTTTCTCAAGAATCACCAATTCAGTATAATGTGTTGCCTAAGGAAAAGTATGTCAATTTATACTCTTAGTCAAAATAAAAAGAGTCTTATCATATTTTAATGCCACTAAGTTGAAAGTCCTCCAATACAACGTGAGCTACGAACCAATTAAACAAAAGCATTCTTTGGTTAATACTTTAATATTAAAAAGGAAATAAGTAAATAATGATAATTAAGGAAAAAAGCTACAGCATCGGTCGAGCGTAGAGACCTGGTCCGCCTGCATGGCAGTCAAGCGTCGATACCACTGTGCCATTACCGTTAATTAAAAAATGTGACAAATAAAGATCAGATGCTGGTCTCTGTCCGACAATTTGTCATGCAATGTGCGGCAATGTGTCAATCTTTCAAAAATTTTACGGTAGGTAATTGAATTTTATATTTTTTGTTTCAGATGAAAACATGTAATGTCGCTACCAGTATCTCAATATGAAGCTTTACTAGAAGAAGTTCGGAGCTTAAGACGGAGGGCCCATCACGTTCAGCAACTAGCAGCTCCTTTGCTGTCTGGTTCATCATCGACAACTTCATCAACCTGTCCACCATGTAAGGTAAGAATTTTCTATTTTTTCAAACGCCACGCTTTACTAATTCGAACTTTCGGATCGTTGTTTTTTGATACTACACAGTAATATTAGCTAATGTTTATAACAATTCGTCGATAAAATTATCTTTCTTTGGTAAATATAAATATGGAAAAACGATCTATTCGTAAACTAAACTAAAACGTTTGTTTAATTCTTCTAATCGTTTTGCGTTTCAAAAATATTTTGATATTAATAGGTACGCTATTTGTTTCATGAAATTCTTTGACATTTTCCGATAGTAATATAGATTTGTAGATACTTTAAAATAGACCTCAAATAAGATTTTTGTGAATGAATAAAACTGTCTCTATATGCGATTGGGGATGCTCGTTCCAACACCTCCATACATTGTTAAAGCATTTCTGTTTCAAATTATTCTCAATACCATTTCAGCTGAACAATTCAAATCTACTAACTTATTTGGATGTATTAACTATTAAAGATTATAATCAGACTTGTTGTTCAACACCAAAACGGCGATCAAAAACTATAACAATTTAAATATTTCAGTGCTTATTAAACGCTTGATGCGCCACTGCAGACATACGTTTATAACAATACATATTAGAATGGCCCTATAGCCCGAATCTTCATTCTACTATGGATTCCGGCCGTTAAAGCCTTTGTTCTAACAATACATATTGTTGTGGTGTTTTAGTATAAATAATTTTTTTATTTATCGCATTTGAATATAAATAAAATGTGAACGTCTAAACCTAAGGCATCAACGTGTATGACTACAAATGGCGCTCTTTTTGAAAAATTTAATTTTCATTGAAATAATCATTAGCCTCAACATTTATGTATGCAAGATAATGTTTTCCTACTTTTTTCATGAAAAAAATCAATTTTAACGAACATAAACTCACTCCGTTCGTGTTGCCTTTTCCTGCCGTAATTTTATGATTTTATGCAATGCACTAAGGGACTAAGGCCTTCAAAATTATTATTTTTAAATTGGAATTTTTTAAAAAGAAAAAAAGTAATTCAAAAATCTAGATGGTGCCATTTTTGAGTCACTTATAATTGACTTCGTAGAGGATCATCGCTGTAGAGGTGGTGCCTTTTGCTTATGCGTACGATATAATGTATTATTGTATCTAGCAGTCGGTGTTTTCCTATTTTAATTTTATAATATCCATTCTACGTCACGTGGAGGCGACCTCTCCACTAATACATGCTGTGCGCCTTTCTTGACTAATGTTTCTCACTGCGGCATTGCGCCAGTCGAATCGAAAACTGCTACAAACGCGCAAGCAATTGTTTTAATCTGTGGCAAAACACGTGTTCTCGTATTGTATTTTTGTTGTCTTTTGTTTTAACACAATTCCGTCGGTTGAATTGGGCTCGTACGACGCCCCGCGTCGCGCCGGATCACTCATTTGTAGTTTTTTTTACTGTCGGTGTTTATGTTCCAAAATGCTGTCGTCGTTTGCCGTACGATTGAAAAAGGATGCGTTAAATAAATGTTTACACATGACTAAAAATGTGGGTGAATATTTTTAAAAACGTCATTCATAAGTGAGTCGTAGTCCTGGAAAAAAAGTTAAGGATAATACCTAATCCTTGCGTAAAAAGTGTGAAGTGGTTTGAATTTTTGTTGAAGTTTGGAAGAAACGATTGAAATTATTTTAAATCGAAAGGAAAACGAAATAATTTTTCTGCTGTTATTTTAATCTTGGAACTTAACCTTATTTAGGTAAGTAATTGATAAAATTTTTACTGTAGCTGTAACTTTTAAAAACTTCTTAAAATCTTGAAAATATGTTTCGAACCGTCAGAATAAAAATAGAAAATTGTCTAATGTTTAAGGAAATTGCGTCAAGAAGTGGGTTAATAGAAAAATCACACTTGAAAAGTGTCGTCGTAACTTTTGTTAACATGTTTGATATTTGTTAAAAGTTATTAATAAACTGAACATGAAAAAATTGTATTTCCGTTTGGTTTCTACAGAAACCGAAATAATTTATCATCTACGTCAGAACAACGACAAGGTCGGTTCAGTTTAGTATTTAAGAACTCAATTGAAAATTAATAGTATATAAAGCTAAAGATCGTGGGTTCGATTCTCGGCGAGGGTGCTATAGCAGCAACTAATTTTCCCTCATAAACTTGAGGTAGTTTTGTAGTGGTTAAAAAATTTAAAATGAATTTTCACTTTAATATTGAAAAATATTAAATTCCTATTCAGTATACGTAGCTATGATTTAATTTTATTGATTTAAGATGTCTAAAAACAATAATAAAAAGTCGTTTATCAAATATATATTCTAGGGGGTCTGTTTTTAAAATAAAATGATTTATGTCATTTTTTTATCATATTATTGTATTATTTGTATAAAATGCACGTTTTATAGGTGACAATTAATATGTGAGACAAATGTTTTCACAATGACTTATATTGTAGCAACTGTCAAATGTGTCAGGTTAGGTTAGGTTTATTTCTATTACTCGTCCTAAAAGCATTCTAATGGATTCTACAAATATACAGGGTTGATGAGACCATTGGATTCATGACGTACTATTTCGATACATTTAGAAAGCACTAATAAATCCTTAATGTAGTGTCTTATTATTGTATATAATTAAAGAAGTAGGGACCACCATTCCGAGATTTATTTTGAATAAAACAAAATCAGAGTCTATTGTTAGTTCTCCTATGTTTTGTTATTATATTTATATATAATATTGTGTCCTCAATATTAGTGAGTCATGACGAGGCCCTTTAAAGTTCAGCGCTGATGTTCGTAGGCGCAAATCAATACTGTTGTTTCTGACCTATATCTACTTTCATTATACACATGTATAATCCATTACTTGAGACGTTTCCGCAGATCTTGGCAATGGACTCAATTCTCATGTCACTTGTTTAAAAACAACTTTTCGTTATTAATCAAAATTGATTTGTAAGTAAACTTGACACATTTTCTCTTGTAGAATTTTTGATGTAGGTATTTTGGGCGTAACTGGTGTTTCTGTGGCACTTGTTTTTTTAAATAGATTTTTTGTGCTTGAAACGCAATATTTTGACAATTGAGATCAGGTTTCTTTCTTGTTCCACCATCGAAGTCTCCAATCAAAAGATGAGTTTTATGAGCCTGAAACTCGAAACGAAGTAACTAACACTAAAAAGAAGTTTTTGTAGATTTGTTTTTGTACGTTCTATTGTTATATTTTGTTCCTAAAACCTGATTTAAGTTTTTCTTTCTTTGAATGATCGCTTATTAAAGCCTGGCTCATTCAGAATGTTGTTTGCCTTGGCGCGGGTGTATTTGCACTTGTTGTTGCGAGGAAATTTAAAAAAAAAGTGGTTAAGTTCATGTTATTGGACAAGTTTAAGAATCTTCGCGTATTATTGTATAAATATTCAGTATAGCGAAGTATAGAAAGGAAATAGAAAGTAAAATTCGCGAGTGGCAAAAGTGGAATGATTATTTTCTTTTGTTCATTTCACTTTTTCACACGTCTACTGGATTTCAAGATGAATTCGTTCTTGTATTTGTAATTTCTGCCCATTTGATACCCATGCACAAAAAAAATCCCAAAATTCCAACGCGTTTTAGTCACGCACAGTTGAACTGTGTGACAGACCGATCGTCCTGTACTCTTTTTTAATCAACGTAGAATTTCGACATTTTTAGTTTAGCAATATCAACGAAATTTTCTTTCTGTTTGTTTAAAATGGACCAACATAAAAACGGTTGAAGTTTTGACTATATTTTTTTACATATTGGATCACAGTCAGCGTTACTTCTTAATCTATATATTGAAGACGCGATTAACATCATTAAAGACAGTACAACTGTAGGGATAGATATATAGGGACAAATGATTGGTATGCTTAGATTTGCAGATGATATAGCAGTATTAGCATCTATCAAGGAGGAGTAAGAGATAGATTTAAATAAAATGGAAGCGGTATTGACAAAGCAGTATTGTATGAAAATAAATAAAAGTAAAACAAAAACGCTGGTATGCAAGGGAAGAATAAGTAGGGAAAGAGCGAATATAAAGATAGGACACGAAAAATTAGAAGAAGTGACTGATTTTAGGTATCTGGGAAGTCAGATAAGTCAAGACGGAAGGAGTAGTAAGGATATAAAGCAGAGGATAGCGCAGGATCGAGCCGCCTTCAAAGATAAAAAAGATGTCACTTCTATACCCGCGAATGATTAATTTAGAAATTCGAAAAAGGTTGTTAAAAAGGTGTATGTTTGGAGCGCGGCGCTGTACGGATGCGAAACATGGACGGTGGGTGCGGTGGAAAAGAAAAGGTTAGAAGAGTTGAAAATGTGGTATTACGGGCGAATGATGAGGATATCGTGGATAGAGAAGGTTAGAAATGAAGAGGTGTTAGAAAGAATAGGAGAACAGAGGACTTTATTGAAATAAAAAAAAAATAGGCGAGATAGGTTGGTAGGACCCCTTCTCAAGCATGAAGATCTAGTCAGAGACATATTAAAGGCAGAAGCAGGAGTTAAAAGGAGCTGAGGTAGACCTAGATTAGATTACTGTTCACAAATGGTTAAGGATGTGGGCTGTTCTAGTTTTAGGGAAATGCGAAAATTAGGCCAGGATAGGAAAGAGTGGAGTTGCGTGTCCAGCCAGTCTTAGGACTGACGACCTTATGATGATGATGATTGAAGTATAAGTTTTCAGAATTACTTTCCAGTGTATTGTGTTGAAGAATATTGGCTAGGAATTGGGTGTAAACTAATTCCAATTGATACTGCTCCTACTGTAAGAATATTGCGATAACCTATTGAAGTGTTTTATGCATTTCTGTTCTAATTATAGTAACTTGGGGGCTTTATTTCGTTGTTTTTCTTCGTGAGTATTTATACACGTGTCATGCCTATATTTCCGACATGTTGTTCCGAGAAACATTCGCGTACCCTAACCTTTCTTATTTTTAGTACCAATGTTTTTAAAGTAAGCTATAGCTGGTTCAGAATTTCATGAGC